CGTCAACATCTGGGAACCCATACTCCAGAATATGTGCCCCCACCTCTCCCATGATTGTGCTCGTACCTGGAAATGCCCGTGACATGCAAAGCGAGCACCAACATACTGTGGAAAAACCGATGCGCCGTTCTGCTGAGCAATGTCACAAGACAACATGAGCTTGTGCGGTGGTCTGCAAAGGCTTGACAACTCCTGGCAAGAAGAAAGCACCAGATCAACTGGGTCCCCAAGCAAAAACGAAAATGTGCGCCCACGTTGCCTCTGGGGAGGAACCCTCTGACTCACCCACCTTCGGTGGAGGTGATCTTCGGGCGTGTGAGTGTTGGCCCCTCTGTCACATTGTTCCCTACGCAGACCACGCATACGGTCACTATCACCCCTATCACGCATACGGTCACTATCCCTTCCGCCCCTTGGAGCACGCTGCCCGCAGCTGGGCAGCAAGGCGCAGGTCCTGCACAGCTAAACGGATGACAGACATGCGCTTTTGCTACTGACACCGTGGAAGGCTTCGGCATGCAGGCGGTGTAACGCTTTCTCTCCCACAGTGTCACTACCAGTGGAGATTGTATGTTGGCGATCAACACACACAAACTCACGTGCATCTTGCTGCTGTTTCTGGCGCCATGAGCATCGCCAGAGCGCCGACAAACACAATGGCGGTAGCCGGCACGCTGCGCTCCATGCTTTTGAGGCATCCACAAGTTCCGGTTGGGAACCGTTGGGCTGATGTCTGAAGCGAGGCTGCGCAACGCAAATCCTGGCCTTTCCGTGCAGGGCAGCCAAAAAAAACTACAAACAGCCAAAATCATGCTCTGGGAAAACAAATAAAGAGCAAAAAGCGTAACGGTGAAATTTTCTGATGTAGAAGATTTGAATATTTTACAGTACCCTTTCCTGACTGCACATCAATTGATTCAAAGTTGAGCATCTGCTGAACAATCGACGAGGGCCCACCCGATTCCTGGGGGCAAAGAGCACCTCCAACCACGAGCGGCAGCGTCGAATGTGCAGTACGTTGGCACTTGAAGGGAGGGGTCTCACTTGAAGCGCGCCCATCTCCACCGCCCCCGCCCACCTTGTCCTGCGTCGACTGACAAGACCCTCACGGTCATGCGGCGCCATCAACCTCACATGCCGACAGCATCCGCCAACGCGACGCTTGCTGAGCCAGCCTCGGACGAACAGAGAACTCACCCCTTCTGCAAAGTTTGATTCCCGGCCGTCGCGCCACGCGCCACCGCCCCTGATACCCCAGCGCGAGTCATCGTAACCATCAAGAGCTCTTGCGCATCGAGGCGAGGAGGCAGGCAGCAGCACCCTGCTTCGAAAGTCCAAGAGCAGAGCACTGCCTCACGCCATGTGACGCTCGCCATCAGTACGGTGCCGCGTTACGCACAACGTACAGCCTGCCTACGGCGCGGTAATGCTCTGCCTGTGATGTCTCCTGAACATTAAAAACGCCACAGAGCACACGCCACGCGGCCCCGCAATGAGGCACCCACCGTGCTCCGCGGACGTTCCGGCTGGCGCCTCCTTTTTGTAGAATTTGCGTCCCATCCTCCTCGTACCCAGTCGGCGCCAGCGGCCGGGCGTCGGGTGGGTTCCAGGGGGCCTGGCGAAAGCCCCCCGGCGGTGGAGTGGAATCGGAGAAGGAAGGAGGAGGGGGTCGCCGGAAATTGGAGGTGGTGTCAGGCGAGGTGAGCAACCAAACCAGATGCCGGACATGGCCAGGCGGTGTGGGCCGGTGAGGCAAGCGGGTGTGGGTCAAGATGTTAGAATCCCAGAAACAGAGGTCGTACAATGGAGCAACCCCTCCTAAGCAAGTACGCAGTGGGCCCTGTTCCGCTTTGCAGCGCTATACCTGCCCCTTTCGGCAAGAATGATGTGTGGTTGGGTGGCGGGGGGGGGGGCGTGTGGGTTGGTGGGTGGGTGGTGGGGGGGGGGGTTAATTGCCATGGTCAGGGAGCGAGGCTGGGGAAGGGAAGGTGATGGTGCGCTGAGGGTAGAGCAGGCGTGAGTGCTTGCGGGCGGCCGGTAAGGGCCGATTGGTTTTTGCCGCAGCGTGGCGCCGGGAGGAGAATGAAGGCCGCGCCTTTTGTATGCCGCGTTGGTGAGGCGAAGGTGGCAGGGAGACGGCGGAGGCCGTCGAGGCGCGCGGCACCTGCGTTAGGGAGGGGCGATCGCGACCATACTCGGCGTCGGAGCGGCGATGGAGGCCACCGATGTACCGCAGGGGCAATGGGGCGAGATTGGGGCGCGCGCGTCGTATGGTCGGCCTCACTCCGCCGCGCCGGGGAGTGCTCGAGCCCTTAGGAGCCTTCCGGTCCTCGTGGCGAGGGTTCCCTGACAAGCCATCGACGCGCCTCATCCGCCCGGCCACACGTGACGTTGCGCCGAACTGTGGATGAGCCGGAGGCGATCGCAGATGACGGTACCGGTCCACCGCCAACACCACCGCAACTCGCTAGCGCCTGCATGGGAACCGCCGCCGTTGACGGCGACGTTGTGGCCTGAGGGAGGAGCTGGGCGCACGGACGGGGCCGCGGCGCTGCGTTGCGACCTCCCCTCGTTGGCCGGGGGGCTGTACGGTCTGCAGCCTGCGCCGCTGGCATCGTAGCGCCTCGGCACGCAGTCAAGGACCGCGAGTCATCGGCCGCTGAGCCGCCTGAATCTCACGTCGGCCGGAAGGAAGGGGCCGGTGGGCACGGGGAAGGTTGATCGGCGCCCATCGTCGCGGTGATCGTGCAGTTGTTTTTGGGCGGGGGCCCAGTCATCGGCATCGTTCATTTTGACACAACTGTGCATGGGATGTCCCACTGCCCTACCAACCACCTCGCCGGGGGCAAGGAAGGGGGAAGTCCAATCGCTTGAGTGCGCTTCCACCCAACAATAACAAGGCTGTGGTTATGTACTGTTACATTACTGTTATGTAAATGCCCTTTAGGCAAGGGGATAGATTCAGCTTCCTATTTTGCCCGAGCGAAACTGTGCCTGTGATTTGTTCGCTGAAATCTAGTCTATGAGACGGGGGCCTGCCACCGTGACTGGTGGGAGGAATTACAGCTCGGCGAGCTCGAGGGATCGGGTGATGGGCGTGGCATTAATGGGATCAAGCGTGTCCAAGTTGGACCAGGGATGGGTGTCTGGCGCGGCGTCTTGCCCCCTCGTAGACTCGTTTTTTAGAGCAAGTGACATGAGCTGACGAGAATTTGGTTGGTTGATGGTGTCTGTGCGAATGGCTGTCAATCGAACCCATGGATGGCTATGAAATCTTCGATTTGCTGCCTGCACAGCGGGCCGGTGGGATGGATGGGAATGAGGAAACGATGTGGAATACTCCAGACTCGGGACCGGGCATGTCCATCCTGCCAACCTAACAACACGCCACGTGTTTTTTCTACATACAACTTTTTTGTGAAAGGCTGAACACTTTGATTTTTGAGAAGTCGCACATGTTTGCCCAGAAGCTTATTAACTGTGCTTGCCATTGTCTGGCAGTCTGCACGTCAGCGGATGCAGTTGATTGTGTATTGTACTGCTGTCAATGACTAAGAAATTCTTGACCATCATCCACAGCAAAGCAGCGAAGTGTACCATCAACATCAACTGATGGTTTATTTCGCTATCCACAGACACATCTGGCAGCAACTGCTGCCATTGTTCTAGCCGACCCCATGATACACTCACATATGACGGGCTAGCTTGCACCTATGGCACAGCTGCTTTAATTGACCTAATATCAACATGTCATTCACATTCATCAACCAACAGGGCACTGATTGACCGTCGTGGGGATGTTGATGTTGTTAACACAGCATGAGTGCGTATTTGAACCCCAAGCCCCCAGAATCCCACAAACACCATTGCGAGCGTGATGGCGGAAATTCTTGCAACAATGAATCCATCAAGATACGTTCCGTGCACCAAGCACTACTTCATGAAGCACTCTGCCATAGATTCACAAAATGTGTGTACAAGAGATATGTGGAGAAGATACACTGGCCAACAGCTCTTGGCGTATATCATATACGTATGCCCATTGCACTCAGTAGGCGATATCCCTGTTTGGTACGACATCAGCGCTTTGTTGAGTGCCGAGAGATGCATTCAAAGTGGATTTCAGAGGTGGCTGCCGGCTCAGAGTGCAATGCACAACGCGTGCACTGCACATGAACGCCAATGAAAAGGACCCAGAACAATACAGCGACTGCACGGCTGATTAACCCGAATCTGTGGTATGGTGCTTGCTGAGACTCGTTTTGCAGGATTTGGCGCAACCTCAACCTGGGTAAAAGTTGCGCCAATAGTTCAGTTCTTGGGCTGGCGAGTGACAGCTCTGCAGAGAGAAATGCAGGCATACATGAGCCCATTCGGATAGCGTGTAATAATTACATGCAATATGTAATGAAATTATCCCATGAGGCAACAAGCCTCCTCTCCGGCACCTAGTGTATGGGCTCTTGTGACATGTGACCTTGAACATTCGATCCCGAACAAACTATCTGCTTGCTTTTCATGCCCATCATCGCCTACCAGGTGCACGGGCTGTGTTTTATCATTTTGTGACAAATGTGATCATGGATTTTGATGATGATGTAACGAAATGTGGTTGAGAAATGTGTTTGCCCACATGGAATGGAATGGGGGGCTGCCTCATTGGCAGGCCCATTCAATGGTGCCCCTTTCCTGTGGCAGAGTGTGTGGGAATCTCCACGTACTTGCTGAACACAAGTATTCTCTTTTCTTGATTTTCGAAGTCTCGTGCTTTTGTTTTCCAGCATGGAGCATTCGTTAGCTGATCTTATTGAGTGTCGCTGTGCAGATTTGTAGTTACTACAGAACTCAGAGGCAAATTTTTGGTACTACGTTCTTGATTTGTGGTGCACGGCACCAGCCAGCAGCACCTCACGCCTGCAGGGGACACTGAGCTGCAGCGCCAGAGACACTGCACTGGACTCCCCACTACATCTCCTCTGAGGAGGACGGGACATGCAGAGATGTCCTCGGTGGTCGCAGCGGCCGTCTTCCTGCTGGCAGCATGCCTTGCTCAGCAATCTGTGAGTTCTGTTAGTTCCTGTTCTGAACAGCCGCAGTCTTGAGAGTGACGACATGCAGAGTTGGTGTTTCGGCCTCCTGCATTTCAGACTACAGGACTTAAAAACTGTGGATGAGCTTTGCAGAGTTTGGGTGCAGGGGAGGGATTTGCACAAATGCCTCTATTATGCCAGAGTAACACTGCTTTCTGTGTTTATGCATTGATAATGGTTTTCCACGTGGAAAAATCCTTTGGGGCAAAATGCCACTGATTTTGCACGTTGTCGACCCAAAAGGAACCATGGCCCAGTACTTGTTATTGGTGTGTTTGGCCGAGCTTCCCGTTGTGGGTGGGACATTGGGTCCATATGAATCTGGCGGTTTAACTGCCGATTTTCCAATTGCCGATGATGAGACCGATGCAACGATGTTGCTTAACCTTATGAAGAGTTGTGCTTGTTTTCCAGGTTATCGCAGCTGCGAGTTCATGGCAGCTACGAGCAGGCCTGACAGAAGCAACCTTAAGTAATTTGGATGCTCAGTACAGAGGTGCGCAACAAGGGATGTTGTTGTGCAGCAATTTTGATGTCGGTGGACACTTCGCCACTGACAGGACCTGAAGCAGCGGGCATTCTGTGAATCACTAAAACAAACGACGTACTGTGCATACATATGTGGGGTACCGGCACCCATATCCAGGACAGGGCCATATCCTGAAATGCACATCTGGGGTATGGTGCCCATATTCTATTCGATATTTAGTATATGGGACTTTGCACCTAATAATCTCTGTGGAATGGAGCAATGTGCAGAGGGCAGATGATTTCAATTTCTTCACCACCAGTATGGGTTCGCTCGCCCACTATTGACGCTCTTTTAATGTCACAGGGAAAAAAGAGTTCAGGAGCCAAATGAAGAGGGCTCTTAGGCAGGAAGATGCCGAACAACCACAGGTGAGGCCATGGGGCCACGCGATTCGTGGATGCATCATTTGCACAAGTTACATTGTTTATGCGTGCGATCAACGCAAGAAAAACTTTTTAAGCGCCACTATAACAGTTGCCATGTGAGCACTCAACCATCGCACACTCACATGCAGCTGTTCAGCTTGCATTCGTGCATCGTCCTTGCACTTCGCCACTGAACATTCCAGCGGCTTGGCCATATGTTGTTCCACAAAGTAAATGCACTTTGGTAATGGATGTCGCCAGGAGGAAGGGGAAAGCTCGCTGTGTGCGCGCTTCCCATATGCAGTGTCTTTTCGTGACCACAACGACGTCCACAGATGTGACGGCGTCCTCATAAACCACAACTGGGCGCTGACGGCCGCCCGCTGCGTGGACCCCGACATCCCTTACTCAGCAGGAGGCACGCCCATCGTGGTGATCGGGTCCTGCACACTGGACCATGCTGCCAGCAGCCACGGTGAAATCGAGGTGATCATGGTGTTGACAAAACGACATGTAGCCCAATTCAACTCGATGTCTGAACAGACGTAACGTTCTGGCCATTCACTGTTGAAATATGGCGCCAAAAACGCTGCTCAGGTTGCACGGTTTGGCCCCATTCCGACGCTGTTTAAACTTCAAATATTGTTGTATAGAGCTATAGCTATATATACGATTTCATATCTTGTATAGATATTCGCCAGTTTAAAACAACTGGAACACGGCTGGTGACTCTGTAATGTGGGCCATTTTCTGCCAGTGCATCCAGAGGAGTTGGAACGCGCAAATAACCGCCGCCGTCGTCGCCTCCTCAGGCACAAGACCCTCGTTTTGTCACTGGATCTTGGACAATTTAAGCAACGGAATTCCGACGCAAAGTACCAACGGCTACTAACTGCCACTAAGTACTCCAGTAAATGAAAAATAGTTGAGAAGCACTTTGGACGCATAACTTACATATGCACGAAAATATGTACAAATACAAAGAAGCATGTACTTCCTCCATCCAGAAATAAATGAAACAATTTGTTTGAGAGGCTACATTTGTATCACGGACTTGTCAATTTTCCTTTAAAATTGGATCAAGGCGTTACTACACGTTTGCTATATACTGCCAAATTTTTGTGGACAACGGGTAAGTATCGGCCACATGGCAGTACTTTGAACCCTTGTGATTCAGGCCAAAAAGTCGAAGCTTCTCAGCTCTAGCCGAACAGCCCCCCAAACGGGTCCTTGACCTGGTTGCCTTGCGACTGACAGTGCATACATAGCCCAGAGTGGATACCTCCTGCTGCTATCTTGGTGGCAGGTGGAAGCCGTTCCCCCAAAGGGAGAAAACCACGAAACCGGGTTCTGTACCGCTCGATCGTTGATCGCCACCGTGGTTTAGATGGCCTAATGGGGGTAGCAGTTGTGGATCGGAGACTCGGAAATCGGTGAACTTCACAATCACAGCTTTATCAGAAAGGGCCGCTGCCGTGGCCGAGGTCGCCATGGGTGGTAAGACCATCACGGAAAGCTTTGGGGAATGTGATCGTGACCTCGCTGCGCTACGGCCAGAAGATCGTTGCAGTTGGCTGTGGTGGGAACGTGCCGCAAGCAACACTTTGCGCGCTGTTCATCCCGCTTTCAGGGCGCTGCTACAATGGAGCTTCACTTGTGCCAACGCAAGATGCAAGACCGCCACCATAGCGACAAGTGGGGTCTCCGATAGAGCATCCAAAACCTCCATTGTCATGTTTGGTGGGGTTGATGCCTGTTTGGAAAGAGCAGTTGCTTGAATGAGGCAGGCACTTAATCGGAGATCTGTGCTCACCATGTCGCACGCAAATATCCCACGGCTAGTCTTTAGCCACCAGGAGACCTCTAGGCAGTGGGAGATCCCATGCATGTTGGTGTGCCACTGGGAAGATGGCTGGGATTTCGAGCGTACATCAATGACAGTATGCAGACCAAGGCGCCATTTCTGTCGATCGTGCGTTGCGGCGGTTGTCGATCTTTCAGCTTGAGCCCGAGCGCCGAGGCAACTCCACCCTTCCAATATTGTGACGACCACTGGAGGGTGCACCACTTTTGCGTCGGGCCTTCCTGGATCCGGGGCGCCAGGGCGACAGAATGCGAATGTTCAAATTCCTGTGCTGAGTCGTTTGGCTTCAAAGTACTACCATATGCCTGAATCTTATTTTCTGTGGGTTAATTTTTGACAGCATTGACTAAACTCATGCTAGATACTCTGGTCCAATTTTCAACGAAAGTTGAAAAGTGCATGATGAGAATGCGATCAGTCAACAAACTGTTCCATTTAGTTCCATACGGAGGAAGTACAAATAAAGCACACAAACATATACAAAAGATGCAATAAAAATGTATGTGAAAAATGTGCAGCCTAAAAGCATAACTTTGGAAGTGCTATAAAAAGATGGCTAACTACTCTGCTGTCGACTTATCGATCCGTAGGAGACGTTGGCCAAAGAAGTGGTCATCCATGAGAAGTGGAAGGGCGACGTTGCGGACAAGTACGACATCGCCCTCGTGAAGCTCAGCCACAAATCCACCCATCAGCCCGTCGGCCTGCCCACCTCGCGGGACGCCCTGGACATGGGCCTCAACTTCACGGCGCTGGGGTGGCACGAGCGGGAGGATGGCGTGGTAGGGCGGGAGCTGAGGGGCGCCATCCCCATCCACCTGGTGGACAGCAAGCAGTGCAAGCACGACGAGCTGGAGGACTTGCGGATAGGCAAGACGCTGGTGTGTGCGGTGGGAGGCAACGACGAGGACCTGTGCGAAGGTGGGCTGCGGGTACCGGGCGCCCTTTGCCTTAGTATGTTCAACCCTTCTGCATCAAAAAATTCGCGTTTACGCTTTTTGCTCCTCATTTTTGTGTGAGAGCGTTATTTTTAGTTTTTATGTTCCTCCACAAAAATTTTGATAAGAGAGCGTTGTTTATTTTATTGTTTTCTCAGCAGAAAAGGCCAAGCGTTACGTTACTATGCGGAAGGGTTGAGTATACTACGGTAAATAAGAGTGGGCGTAAGGCCGAAAACGGCACTAAGTCCAGAAGAGACTACCAAAGTTGGAAGAGGGCCGAAAAAGGAGGATGGAAGGCGAAACGAAGGTCAGAGTACAAAGCGCTGTTTTTTAGGAGAAACTGCAATAGCTGTAAAGCCCCCAAAAACCAAACCAAGAAAATTGCGTGTGCCCAGTGCTCGGCCTTCTGCTCATCTCGTTCAGAAGTTGTTGGTGGCGAAGGGGCCGAACTGTTCGGTGAGGATTGAACGAACTTTGAACTCGTATCAATAGGTGAGGGCTGCTTCCTGGCTGGTGCTCGTGTGCCTTCCAGGCCACGGGGTTGTGATTGTTGACGCATGGCATTTGGTGGCACCCTTACCGTTTCCAGGCATGTGTGGCTTAGACGCCTGAAATTGCATGCGATTGCCTATGTAACAAAGAAACTGCGTGGTTTGGATTGCGCAGAATCCGTTCACACCCCACAGGTAGAAAGTACACCTGGGTGTGAAATGGATTCTATGCAATCCAACGCATGCTGGGTGTTTGTGTTGGCTTATCGCATGAGTCTCATATCCATGAATCTAGCGCAGCACATTTTTTTGGAGCACTCTCGGCATTGGTCGAATTTTCTGGCAAGCTTGCACAACTGCTCATCCATGACGTCTTCACATTGTGAAGAACAGCCTCAAGCGCGCACATCAGGTGCAATTTTGAAATTTTGCGTAAATTATGGTTCAGAACTGCTGTTTACAACTCAGATGCATTTGGAACTTGTTGCCCATGTTAGTGTTAGGTACTTTGAATGCGCTTTGGATTCTTGCACGGATGCCTCGGCGATGCTTCGGACATCTGCCATGCTGGTCGTATCGCCTCCTGGCATGGGCAAGATTCGACAAACTTGCGCCTTCACGTATACAGTACATCGACAGTCTTGCAAACCGCGACTCTTTCGAACGTTGCCTGCATTGTGCTGAGCATTGTGCGCAAATGCTATGCGTGATTTGGTGTAAGCTGCGCCCACATTGTTCCCCAGGCGACAGCGGGGCGCCCCTTCTGCGGCTGTTCGCTCCTGGCGGCGACGTTACTAGAGGAAACCCGTCCCTGGATGTTGCTGTGGCGATTGCCGCATTCCGGGACCCCGAAGCCGAGTGCATCGATGCACGCATTCCCTACGCCTTCACGGGACTGAGGTATTTCCGCGATTGGATTGACAAGCACATGGTGAGTTGTTTTGCTTTTCAAAGCGTTTTTCACATATTGTATAGTTTTTCTGTTTTTTTCTGCAATCCTCCGTCGGCATGGAAGACACACGCATTGATGAAATTTAATGCCTGAAATTACTGCAAGAGGTCAGCGCGCTGAAGCATGTGAATCTAACTAGGTGCTCGGTTGTATTTACTTGAGAGAGCTTAGCGAATGGGCACTCTTATGGAATTGGGGAAAGTGCAGGGCACCAATGACATTCCAATCATTGTTTTTTCTTATTTCCATGTATTTCTCCAGCGTAAAATGCTAATTTCCAAAACAGTTGAAAATGTGTTGGATGGGTTTCACATACTTTTAGTGGTACTGTGGCTTAGATTCTCGTTTTGGTGCTGCCACAGAAAGGCGAGTCTACCACGCTGCCGGAGCTTGGACCACACACAACTTTGGAAGAACAAAGGGTGCGCAGTCTCTGGGGAGCGCATGGAAATCTTGGCAGCATGCTATTCAATCCTATTACTTTCGTCTCGTATCGAATTAAGTAAGAAACGGTGTTTTGAGTTGGCAATGCATAGTGATAATCTTGTCACTGCATGCAGTGGATTGTCGATCAATGTGCTGATGCATCGGCATATGGAGAAGGTGATACTGCAGCGCAGCCTGTTCCTCTCACCTTTTGGGAGGGTACTCTGCCACGCGTTTGCATCCACAGGCGCTCTGCGCCGGTCCCATCATTGTGGTTACGTGTGGAGATGTCTGGATACTGAGGCGTGCTTAGGCAGGCCACCGTAGGGAATGCCCCTTTTAGGCTTTTGAATTTTTGCTCATTCCCTAAGAGTGCTTTGGAAGCGTCCCAGAATTGTACCATTCACAGCAAACGGCCATAAGTACCAAGAGAGCGTGAGCTCAACGAACGCTCATAACTATTGGAAAGGTCTTCCTTTGTGTGTATAGCCGGTAATCCTCTGAACTATCTTTTTCCATGGAATTAAGGCATTTGAGTGTGCGCACATGCTAACCGTATATCGATCCAGAGCGCGAATCGTTCGCCACTGTTCGCAACTCTTCAACGCATGGGCGGTTGAGGTCGCATCATGGTGTTCGTTGCGTATCCCCGAACTTTGTGTTTGCGCCAGCGCCGGCTGGCGATGTGGCGACACTGAAATGCAGACCAGCAGACGCAGTTTGTGATCCTCGAATTGACGTTGCTCAGGTCAGTCGCCTGTCACTCTCGGAGAAGGAAAGACAAAAGGTTGACAAGGTGGGTGCACGCTTGCTGCAACGCGGTTGGCATTGCGCTTGTTGGGGCTCCGCCGCGTTCTTCTTCGCCCGTGGCGGCAATGAATATGAAGCGCGATGGAACAAGGTGGTGGTGTTTTGCTGCAGTTCTGAAGCATCGCGTTGACGCAGGCATGTTGGTTGTGTCCACAAAACTTTCGGTTCATATGTACTCCTCGCAATCTGCTTCCGAGTCGGCATGGCGCCTACAGGCGCCTTCGGCAATGTCCTCAGGCGATCTGCAGCACCAATTGTTCTGCCCCTTACGAGCATTGATGGAAAAAGAGAACCGCGAATGGGCTGTGGATAGTTCCGTCTGCAGATGTCCAATCGGGGAACGAATCACAAGGGGTGTGCTTTAGCTTCACACTGGTGTTCTTACGTTTTTTTTTCTGTTTCCTGTGGAGGTTCCTCATGACTTCTGCATTTATGTGCATAGTTTCAAGTGTATCCCGCGTACGTCGTCTCATGTATGACTTTGTAGACATCATATTCATCCAAGATATCTTTTCCCTTGATATACGATAACTCTTCGACCGATCTGTGAAATTTTTGTCCTGCTTGACGTAACGGTGCAGCCTTTCGACTTAGTGGGTGCAACAAAACACTACCACGAAAAACCAAACTTGCACCCTTATCTAGAATAAGAAGATCACTCTGCTAATACGAATGCATCGAAAACCGTAAATATTGATCAATAGTTTGATCACCAGACACTGAGTGTTCACTAATTTAACTCACGACCAAAATTTCCACACCGACCAAAGCGTGTACCTACACACGCGCCCGTGCATATACTTAACAGCACATAGCAGTACGCTGCCAAGTGTATGCACATGTGCGTGTATACAACATGCCAGCAATTTCCAGCGCACTTCTGTCACAGCGGGCTCAAGTGCCCCAACGTGCCGCGCAGAAACTGTGGGACGCTTCCGTGGAGGGCGACGTGGAGGCCGTGATCGAGGCCCTGGACGACGGCGCCGCCGTGGACGTCACCTTCGGGCGCTTTGGCGAGAAGCCCCTGCACGTCGCTGCCAGCAACGGCCACTCCAACGTCGTGCGCGTCCTGCTGGCCGCAAACGCGGACGTCGACGCCACCAAAAGGACCGGCACGACCGCCCTGTTCGTGGCCGCTCAGAACGGCCACGTGGGCGTCGTACTGGCCCTTCTGGCCGTCGATGCCGACTACACGAAAGCCAGGCCGTCCGACGGCAGCACACCCCTGTACAAGGGTGCGGAGAACGGGCACCTTGACGTGGTGCTGGCGCTGCTGGAGGCGGGCGCGGACCCGAACAGGGCGGACCACTTGGGCGACGCCCCTCTGCACATCAGCTCGGCGGCAGTCGGGGCGCCCAGTGAAGATATCACCAACGCGCTGCTGAACTCGGGGGCCGACATTGACGCCCGGGGCATCGCGGGCCTCACGCCGCTGATGCGCGCCGCTTACTACGGAAATTTGGGGGTGATGAAGCTCTTGGTGAACAGGGGAGCTGACGTGTCGCTGAGGTCGGATAACGCTTTCGACGCGGAGCAGTGGGTGTGCTGGTGTCTGAACGACAAGGAGGATCAGACGCTGGTGCAGTGCACGCCTGGGGGGTGCGAGCAGCCGGATACCGTCCTGGCAATAGAGGCGTTGTTCGGGTGACCAGCCGCATACGCAAAAACATGTATGGGGGGGCAGAAACATGTTTCCGCCTAACGTTTTGTGTGATGCGCGCGTGGAGGTAGGGTTGGAGTACTGGGCGGGGGCTAGCCGGTACTTTGTCTGATGGATTTGTTTCGGGACGTCGAGCGTGTGCTGTGACAGTGCTGTGCGGACTTAGCAGCTCCCAGGTGGAACCGGTTGCTGGTCCACGGCCAGGAAGTGAATAAGAGCGACTGCACACACAAGGGGGTGAGCGGTCGCGCTGCATGTGCAGACCGTGGCGTGCAGAGGGGGGGCCTTTGGAGGATGATCCCCACTGCGCTGTGCGAAGGGGGGACATTGTGCCCTCTAGAGGGCGCAAGGTCATATGCTGGGGGCTGGAGGGTCCGGAGGACGGGGCGCTGTCATCTGCTTGCCGCTTGGCTGTCCAGAAACCCGTTCACAGAAGTCAGCTGGGCTGGGCCCCATTGCATCAGGCGGTGTGCGCAAGGGCCCTGCGACAAACGAATTTCTTGTGCAAAACAACGGAGGGAACATAACGTGTGTGCACTTTGTGTAGCATAGGAATGTGCCCCTTCGGCGGGATTAGCATCTGCATCAGTGCTTGCGAATGCCAGTCTAGACCCTTGTGGGTGAGAGGAGGTTGCAAGCCCAGGTGGGTGCTTGTGCGGTTGTGCAACTCGTGCCTGTTGTGTTAGGGCACCAGCGGTGATCATGTCGCTGTCAATCACAGCGGTGCCAGCGACGCTTTGACATTTGGGCCGTGTTAGAATTGTTTGCATGCCGCTGGGTGGCTTGGAATTGCCGCCCATTGTTTACTTGCGGCTCGCGAGGCATGAGTCGTTCTTGGGCCGTCTGGGACCCAGCTTAGACCAGAGCGGCAATCTCGAACCCGTTTGTCGAGGGAAAGGGTTGCATTCTGGCGGGGACTTGGTTCCTTAGACTTTCCTTCTGGTGAGGGACCACTGTCCGTTAGGGGAGGTTTCGCCAGAGAGGGTAGTCACCAGAGGCGACGGGAATCTACGCAGGTGTCGCATGGAAGTGACGTTGACGGGACATGTATCGGATTTGCCATCTTGAATATCTCGAACATGTCGAAACGTCACGTCAACGTCAGAAAAAAAATTGCATAACCTGCTATATCCCTGCCATATTCCCAGGGTATGGCGCGGACAGCGACCTGCAAGTTTTTATCGTAACACCACATGCAGGAAACGTTCGCTTTGTTCTGGGGCCGTACACGACGTCCACGCAACTCCGTGTGCCGCTGCTCTCTGTCTCTCTCTCCGTCTGTCTCTGCTCTCCGTCTCTCTCAGTCTGTTTTCTGAGGCGCAAACCACAGGTGGTGGCAAACACAGGTCACCCACGTGGAAAAGATGCCCGACGAGAAGAGCTGTTGCGTGCACTGGACTCTAAGCTCTGTGTGGTGCGCACCAGTGCGCACTATCGGTGAATTTCATTCCACGTGCTCCCAGCTCAATGCAGTCAAGCGCTCACTCTTGCTTCGTGGCCATACTTGGACTCTTCTCCAGTATGCGCACTGGCCACATCCAGCACATGGAAAAACGAAGATGATCTGGAGATTTCAGCGCTTCTGATGCACGACGTGTCTCCCGCGGACAGTGTTTTCAAATGTGAATAGAAGATCTCATCTTCTATATACATCTTCCATATACATGTAAGTATGGAACCCGGATGAGCCCTCAATGAAAGCCTTTTGGTGAGGCAGAAAGCGTTGGGCATGTCAGAGACAAGCATCATCGCATACACCCGACTGCAAATGGACGCAAAATTTTGGCGTCCAAGCGCAACCGGGAGTAGATGCGTCGATATAAGCAAATACGACCACAAAAATTGGTGCTAAGCCTGATACAATACCGCATGGCAGCTGGCTGCGAGCTCCAATGCACTTCTTCTTGAGAAAACGTGCAAGCGCCGGGCAAGCTTGCTCGGCATTCATCCCGTTTCCCTCACAGGGAAGCTCGGTCTCGCTTTCGTCTTCTGATTCCTTCGCCATTATGTCTAATTGACTGGAAAGGGGGGGCCTAATCTTCGCGACGCTGGGCCTCCCCCCAGTGCCAGGCTCCCCGCCTCAACTCCCCTCTCAAAGGTTTTGCTTGCACGCAAATTTTGTCTAATCGCCTGTTGACGAAGCCCGGCCGCCGCCGCTGCCAGGCTCCAACCCAAGCGCCCCAAGCATCCACCGAAGCAGCTCAATTCCTGTTCCCCGGTGCCCCGTCTCCACATCGAACAGGCGCTCCAGCTCGCAGAGGAGCGACCTCGACGGCTTGGCCGCAGGGGGTGCACGGCCTGCCCGATCTCCCTCCCAAGAGGCACTGCGCTGCAGGTCCGGAAGGCCGCGGGATGCTGGCGCCAGCAGTCGCGAGGCCCCCGACGTCAGCAATCGCCAGGCCCCCGAGGACAGCGAGGCTGCCTCCGCTCCCAGAGGGTCGGGAATGGCGGTGTCGTCGTCGGCCGTGGGCGGCGGCAGTCGGGCTGTGAGGTCTTTGAGCTGAAGCGGCACTCAAAGGAACGGTTCAAAATCGCGTGACGCCGAAATGAGAAACTGTCGTTTCAAGGAAACCAGAAAATCATCAGACGTCAAATATTACCTGGCACCGAAATCAAAAAATCGTGGGAAAAACAGGATGTGAATGACTAGCAGCAAAAGCCACTAACATAGCCCTTCAGTACAATGTAGTGCGCGTAAATTAGAGATGGTCCACACTGTGTACTATGTTGAATTGCCTGCTCTACAGGAGACGATGCGGTTGCCGCTGGTGGCGCTGATAATTTCACGCCAGTCTGTGTCCAGGAGGTACCTCGTTCGAATCGCGTGCAGCTGTCATTCCTTTATTCCGGACGTAAGCGGAGAATTCATCGGCGCATAATGGCTTTTGCTTCCACGTCCGCAGCAGCGCCGCTGCGGACGTGGAAGAACATCTAGCTGTCGCAGCGAGATCTAGTGCAATGGTCTATATCCCACGTTCAGAATGCACAGATTCGCAACAGCAACTACGTCCAACTTGGCTAATCATTCACAATATCGATGTATTTCCAGGATATTGTATAACAGCGTGCTTCTCTATCCATTATAGAAACCCGATATTCAGAGATATTTCGATGACTGATATCCTTCCCAAAATGCAATATTTTCAGACCATTCACACCGCCAGATGGCTTTTGCAATGCTGGCGTGGAAGGCTGTTCACCTGTCTGTGGAGCTTCCGCACACTGCTCAAATCGAGTCCGAGCTGGCCAGAATGGACTTCTGGGCCTTCGCCCTCAGCTGTCGGCGGTCTTGCCACGTAATACAGCATGGAAACCCGAGATGGCGAGGCGAGCGTGGGCGCGTCAACGGGACCCGCAGCAATCGCCACATGAATCTTGCCGTGATGTGATTCCGATGTGCCGACATGCTGGGCAAAATCCGCAGAAATGTCAATGTGGGGATTTTCGATGCAGCAATAAATCTGCGGACGTCGAAGGACCCGGCCGTTCATGTAATTCTGCATCAATAAGTATCTATAATTTTTCTTTTTCTGCATTCTTTTAATCGCATTTTTTGGACCTGATGAGTGCCAAAATCAACAGTTCAGAACACGCGCTTTGGGACTTCATTGCGGTAGTTCTTCAGACCAAGTATTGCTATCTTCATAATCAAGCAATCGAAGAATTGGAGCCACTAGCTGCTCCGGAGAAATAACACTCCGCTCACATTTATATGGTGATTGTATCGATGACAATCAGGTCCCATAGAAATACTATTCTCAATCGCCATCCGCATGTGCATCGCTTCTTTTCGTCAAATCGACTCTTGTCGGAGACAACCATGCATACGCCATGTATCATACCAGTGAAATTCACTCGCGTGTGTGCACATGTTTGGCGCATATGATGCTATCGGAACGTCGAGAAAGCCATGTAGCAAAAACAGGAATTTTGCAGGAACACTGAATTGCGAAGAGCAACGCAATTAAACTATTGATAACTTTCAGAAACTTCGTTTTCATGCCGAATTTCATCGCCTGAGACGAAGTTGAAAATACATATAATAATGAGGAGTTCGGAGATTATGAGAAACTACAGACAAATTACGAAATCGCGACAAACGCGGGAAGGCGAAATGTCACAACAAGGTTAAGAAGCTGGATGCCGCATAGACACCATTGCCACGTCCCCTGCAACCACGCCACGCCGTGCGCGACCCAGACCCACCTCCTCACACCACGCGACGCAGAGCTCCGCCGCCGCCGCCCCCTCACCACCCCCCTCCCCCGCGGGCAGGGGCCCCTCCGCCAGGCAGCACTCCTCCTTAAACCTCTGGCACCCGTCCCTCATGGGGGCGTGCATCTCCAGCTTCTCCTGGGCCCCTCTCCCTCCCCTGAGCGCCTCCAACGCCTCCCACTCCGACGCGTCTCGCACCATAAGGCTGTATTTGCGGGCGGCGGCCTGTGAGAGGGCCTTGTCGCCCATGGGCGGGCCTAAGGGACCCGTCGGGAGTTTTGAGGAAGAGTATTCCGCGACGCCGCGCAGGTGGGAGAGGCACCATTTGGGGATGGAGGCGACGGGCGGGCCCTCCAGCTCGTGGGCGCGCCTGGTCACTTTGTCGGCCTGGGCGCTAACCTGTGGAGAGGGCGGGGCTGCCAATGAACTTTGATTCAATTGTATCGATACTTTATTATCGATGCAGTATCTGTGCTGTCGGTGAGATGTTTCAGCGATTGCGATAACGAGGTGGGGTGCGGGGCGCGGGGCAAGATGCGATTTGGACAGCCCTGGCCATGCGGTGGGTGCTAAATGCACGGGATCGTCAATTGGCTGAATTGGACAGATATGGGCGTTGTTAGGATGACGTTTTCTAGAACACAAAATGGCGCTGCACAGATTGTAACCCTATAGTGTGGCACTCCGCCCTGCATTCTTGTGCCTGTACTCTGCATCCTTTTCGAGTACCGCCATCTGTGTCCCTCGAAGCAACGATTTTTCATTACGCGGTT